AAATCGGTTTATTGGCTCATACTTGGGAGACTGCACATGGCCTTAGTTACACTTCCCTGCAATCACAGGACATAATCGCTGTCTATTCCAACACAATCGGTTACCTTAATAGCAGCCGCTACATTTGCATAAATACATAATTTAGTTGATCAGCTCAGCAGTGCATCCAGTTAGTAATTTTAAGGAGGTTGTAGGTTATATAGCTTCTTATTTCAGAGACCTAGAAATATAAAAACAAAATTGGGATTCTGCATACTATCTTGATGGGATAAAGTCCTGATTTCGACAGTGCAAACCATCATCTGGCAAAAAAATGGGAGAGCATTAGCGCATATAATAAACCACAGGAACACTGTGCGAGAGGCAGGCTGCTGCACACGTGCCCCCCCGCTCGCTGCGGGTGAGAAGTACCAGACTAACTGTGCGCCTCGTCATACCCATTCAAGAAACGAGGCAGGCTACGAGCACTGACCTCCTGGCCTGGCAGTAACCACGCTTCAGCTACGACGGGAAGGATCACGTAGAAGGGTGAGGACTTTGGTTTGTTGAGAACGCCAATTACATTTCTATTTCACGGTATTTTCCATATAAAATGGCATTACAGAGGTAACGCTCGTTAACTGAAGTTAATGAAAGAATTTGCAAGAAGCTAAGAGCTGTCCCATAAGCAATGAAGTCATGAAGGGTGGTCTCCTACGTGTCTGTATTCTGCATCCGTTGGCTTCTGGAGCTTGTAACCTCCTCTCCAAATCCCCAGTAGCGCTGCGGCCCTGTCACCCCCGTTGCCCCATAGAGCTCTTCCCCACTGCAGGACTTGCCCCACTCCTCAAGCTGGGGCGTATGCAACACCTCCAGGTGCCATATTCACCTGATGCCTCAGCAGACGTCAGCGCTCCTTGTCTCTGGCACCCCTCCCCTACAACGTCCTTACTGCTCTCCCCGGCCCACCACCATACCGCCTCCTCTCTCTCCCCTTTGTAATACCCACAGCTCCTAGCAGCTCCCTAAGCGTCTCGTGAGGCACCCCAGCCACCCTCTTTTCCCCAGCACGCTCCGGCTATCTCCCGTTGTCGCTGGTCAGACGCGCAAGCCGCAGCAAGCTGCCGCGTGGACCCACATGCAGACCCACCGGCAGGGAGGGGTCGAGGCTGAGTGCTGCCCTGGAAGCGCTGCTGTAGAGCTGTAGCAGCTTTGAGATCACTGATGTAGCTGCTTGATGTTTGCAAGTGGCTTCAAGCGCTGCTGGAGACGACTGGCAGAGCAACTCCCTAAATAACTTTTCTTTAGGAAAGCACGCTGAGAATTTCTCACCTCTGAACAGCAATTTCCTTCTCTTACTCTAAACAGGCATCAAGCTCTATCTAGGAGTACATTTATTTACTTCATCCTATTCCTCCCTTAAAGAATCAAGGCCTCCAAATGAAAGCATTAAATTGCCTCCCCCTCCTATCCCATTGGCTGTAGCTGTATGTTCTCTGTAATCATTCTTAGACACCAGCCCAGAAATAATCTCAGGCAACCATAAACCAGATGACTGACTCGTGTAGCATTTGTTGTATTACTTCAATCCCAATTTCTGCTTTCTTGCACGTTCAGTATTCTGCATGCGCAAAATTGAAGGTTTCTTGTCATTATAGCCACCAAGAGAAGAAAGAAAATACCTCTGCCTGCAGGCACAGAAACAGGGCACAGGGAAGAACAAATTTATTTTCTGTAATTCAGTGTTTATTCAGTTTTCTAATCCAAATTTAAAATTTTGGGGCAGTAGAGATGGGGCTTCAGACAGATATAAATGGTGTATACGAATGGAACACGAGCCTGCTTTATCTTCTGGGATCTAATAAATGGAGAGCAAGAGGCCTTTGTTGTAAAGGTCGGGGCTGGAGATGGCACATCAACCTGCTTGCCAGCTGTCAGAGTCCGCGGGCCAGGAGGGCGTGCATCGCCCCGTGGTTCAACAATGCCACGGTTCCCTGAAGTAGAACTGGGACGTCACACAGAACTGCTACCAACGTTAAAGGCTTGTCGGCAGGTTGAAGTCGCGCTCCAGGGAACGGTACGAGGCTGGCTGTCATCGTGGCCCGAGTTCTTCCTCCTGAACGGTTCCAGTAGCCCCCTGTGGGCGCGTCTTAAGATGCTCTGAGCGGCAGAGAGGCTGCGCTTCTGCCTGGTTTCTTTTTTCCCGGTGAGATTGCAGGAAAGTCGTTACCGGTTTCTTCACCATTAGTCAGAGCAGCTCGATGAATCTCTAGTTAACCGCGGTAAATCGCTGGTGTCAATGTTCCTTTCCACACTCCGCTGCAGAACAGGGATATTGAACCAACAGCATGCAAAGACAGATGCCGGATACGCTCTCCGCTGCATCCAACTACGATTCTTCTTGTCCTTCTCAGACATGGCAACTCAGAGTAAACAGAAACCGACAAGTATCCAGCAAGGTTTGTTACTGCGACAAGCAGCCAGAAAAGCTTATCTGGAATTTGGGTGGGTATAAACAAACTAGAGAACAGTGTGTGACAGAAGAGGCAATTTGTATCCCTGCAAAGAGCAATTTGCCGACTGATTTAATGAGGCTGGCTCAAAAGTGGTTAGAGAAGGCACGGCCTACGTCGGCACTGCCAGGCTAAGGCCCTGGGAAGAATTTCTCCTCCATTTTAAGATTAAAATCTTGTGATTTAAGATTGAAATCTTGTGATTTAAACCCGCATCAGTATTACTGCCGCTGGGAATTGAGCAAATCGTCAGTTGAAAAGTGGCTTGCCGTTAATTAAAAAACAAAAAAATTACTTGAAAGCTTAATAAACGCTTTGATTTTCAAGGGCAAGAGGAATTGGAAGTTGGAGAATCCCACGTTCATCGAGTTGGTGACTCGTCAGTTAAGGACAGCTGTAGCCCAGCAGTTCCGAGAAGCGGATTTTCCTGTAGCACGGAAGCAGTTGGCACTCCAGTGGTTCCTTCCGTGTTGCCAAGCCGACCAAGGACCCAAGAGCTGGCCCTGTACGAACAGCCTGGCGTTCGTGTTACAGCAGCAGCCTGCGTCAAGAGGACACCTTAAAAATCCTTCCCTTTGCTCCCTTCGGGGAGCATTTTTTGGCCACCTAACCGCCCAGATGAGCAGCACAAGTACAGCTCCCAGACTCGTCAAGACGCAGTTGCGTACGCAGGTGAATTCCAGACGACCTTGCACGCTGCAAACCGAGCAACGGCGCGTCGCTAGAATCCCTTCATGCTTCTCCACACCTCGACCCGCCCAGCGTCCTGCAGCGGTACCCCCCACCTGACTCACAGCGCCTACTTAGGTCTGAACTTTTCTGCAACCTGGCCTTGTTGAGGGAGGTGCCTACTGCCCCAGAAACTATGGCGAGGATCTTCTCAGACAGCAGCACCCCACATACATCAAGAAACCGTTTGAGTAGTCACCTTACGCTGTTAACCAGGGAGACGGACTAGTCAGCCAGGGAGACGGACTAGCCCCCTCCCCTCTCACCCAAATCTGCTGGTGGTGCGTGTTAGTTTGACTCTGCTCATCTACCACTCGACTTCCGTCACGGACACTCTCAACGTCAGTCAAACGAACGCAGCAGTTTGCAGAATTACAGCCTCTGCTGCTAAATCAAAAGGGTTAGAAAGCTGAACCCCTGTAAACCAGCCAGTAGAAGCAGGGAAGTTTCTCAGGCAGGGGGAGAGGAGCGCACTCTCAGACTCCACACACCACCAGGTTAGGTGAAGCTCTGTCACGTCGCGACAGAAGCGCAGTTAGCAGCTCGTTTAACGCTGACTCCTTTGCAGCCTGTAACAGACTAACTCCTGTCTGCTCCAGCCCTCCGCTCTGCAGGGCTAACTGCACACCCGCCTGAGCAGAAGTGGCTCCTTCTGTGCAGAGACAGACAGGGCTGATTACCGTGTCCTCAGGATCAAGGCTGCCAGTTTCGAAAGGCACCCAAAGCACTGAACGCGCTCGGTTTTAAGGTACTGAGTCTAGACACGGCGCTCCTGTCCTACACACAGTGGGATGTGCGAAAGGCCGGTGCTTCCTTCCCTCTGAAGGCGTCAGGCGGCGAAAGCACGCGTGTGGTGGTGCAAAATGCTCCAGCCGAAGAGGCCAAGAATTGATTGTCCAAGAAAAAAAACCATTCACAAAAGTTTTTATTAAAAAATTCCCCTTCCACCTCAAACAAGTGAAGCTTAAGTTGTGCACTACTAGGTTATGCTTAGAAAAACGAAAATAATACAGTAACTTTTGAAGGCTATACACTGTAAGATCCCAGAAGTCAACTTGGATGTGCAAGCAAATATAGCAAGTACTTCAGATGTCATTTATTTGGTCCATCAGATGTACAGTATAGTAGTAGTATCTGAGTTTACAAAACATCAAATATAAATAACCTGAAACTGTAACAATACACAAAAATTTGCTTCTTACACTGACATACCAGGCAGTATGAGCTGAAAAACTTGAGTAAATTAACAGTTTTACAGTAATGTACATAGTGCCAGTAGGAGTTTAAGAACACTGTTAAAACATGGCACTAATTTGCTTTATTGAGTTTTCTTTACTTGAATAGGGTGTGAAAAATGTTCAGGACTAGGCTAAAAATCTTTTTCTTCAAGCAAAAAAAAAAGTAGTTACTTAAAATCCGGGTATCAGATGATGCCCCTTGGCTGAACAGTAGGGTTTTCTTCGTCCTACTGAATCATACCCAAAAGGTACCTACACAAAAATAACATGCTTTTTTCATGACACTTCAAGCAAATCTAGAAGCGCTTATAAACTATGTTCCTACTACATTTAATAATGGAATTAATATGGAAAAACTTCAGAGAGAGTCTAGATGAGAGCTTTATCAAGAGGAACAGACACAAACTGCTGAAGCCAGTGGTTTGGTACTCACCTGGAACAAGGGCCGTAGCATTAGTCTAGTTCTGGACATCTTTCACATCCCAACATACTATGCTGTTACTGTATTACATTATCTGAACCACTCTGTCAAGGGGCACGGGCACATTCAGTCTAACGCTATGATTTCATCCTGCTCTTCTGCCTGCTCAGTACGCGCTCTCTTCGTACCAACGCACTCTTTGTCTTCTAGCTTTCTCTTGCGGCTTGTGTTTTCCACATCATCATCAACATTGCCTGAAGAACCTTCATCTTCAGAATCAACAATCAAGAGATCGTCTTGATCTGGAGCTGCAAAATACATGGGTTTAGTTCAGATGGATACTGTAAAGATCGTCTGTTGTCAACCCAAATTTCATACTTAAAAATGTCTCTGACACAACACAGACTTCTTGGAGCACTGTGTATCCATCTCTCTGTCACTGACCTGCAAGACTATTTTGAATTTCTCTGAAATCAGTGTAAAATAGGCTTTTCACACGGCCTTTCACTCTTCACCAGAGGTATGTGAAAATATTGCAACCACCCAAAAACGTGGCAGCGCGCTGGTCAGCCTAATTCTTTTTGCACGTACAAAACAGAAGGACTGCAGGCTGGCTGCAGCTGCCCTCCAGAAAATCTACACACGCCACGCTGTGCTCCAGCCTCTCCCTTCACCACCGCGTTCAACACGACTCCCGCGAGAAGCCGTGAGGGAGAAGGCGCCAAGAGGGAGGAGTGGAAGGGCGAGCAGACCTGAAGAGCTAAGGGGTAACAGCGGGTGCTACGAAGAAGGGAAAATAGAACCAAACGATCATCTAGTGGATTTTGTTTTGAAGTACAGGTTCACTGTAAAAACTCATTTCATGCTTGTTTCTTTAACATAATACCAAACGGTTTTTAGCAGTGCTCTTATCTCCCCTGAAAGAAGAGGCAAGTGGCAGTGACTCCACACTTGTGCATGTACCTTCAGAGCAAAGGACCATCACCCGCAAGTGTCAGACACCTAACTTCTGTGCCCCACGTGTTCACACTCACGCTAGCCCCATAAAGCCGTACGACACTTCCTCACGCATCCCATGTTCGTTGAACTATCTGGAGTATGTCTGAAGAAACACTCCACACGCGGAAGGTGATGGTACGTCTCCCTGGACAGCAAGTACTATTTTCTTGGTGTGCTTTGCTTGACAGGTGAAAACCCACTTATTTTGTAAGCAGATAATAAACACATCACCTTAAATTACCAAAATGAAGCATGATCAAAGACATCCACAGGGTGGTTTTTAATGTGTAGGGAGAAAATGACTCCTTTTTGTCAAGCAACAGCATGAGCATCAGATAGAATGGGTCTAACTTTAAACCACCGTGCAAACGATGCACTTACGCTGACACCCCACCTGGCCCTTGCGAGTCAAATGTAATTTCAAGGTGTATTTACTGTAAACCCTTGTAACAATCTTAAGTGTGCATCTTTCTGTTTAATATTCTGTTTGGACACAGGTGTGTGCTGGATTCAGCAAGGAAAGAGTCAACTCTCTTTACCCTGGCTGCTAGGAAGCTGTTCCTGGATGCAGGGAGCAGCACTGATAAGTTCTCAGCTGGCGCTGGGCAATGCCTGCACTGAATTCAAGGTCTTTCTCTGCTTCTGTCCCTGCAGCTGCGTTCCCAGCTCTCGCTGTCTCGCTACAGGCAGTGTAGGGGGGACACAGTTCAGGCCCCTGACCCAACTGACCAAGGGAGTATTTCATCCCATAGTACGTCATGCTCGGGGCAGAGGCAAGGAGGGGGTCTGGGAGCCATTACTCTCTCCCTTACTCACCTGCTCGTTTACTCCCGTACACTTGCTAACCCTCTCCCTGACTCCTGCATTAGCTGCTTCGCTGACTCCTGTGCTGGCTTGTTCGTGAGGGAGTTGGTGGGTTGGTTTAGTTTTCCCACTCGTGCTATAGCTGACAGGGTTCGCTCAGAATCTGCCGAGGCAGCACTGGGCTCCGGCCCTCGGCCTGCGGCCCTCAGCCTGCGATCACTCTCGGGCTCTCTGGGTCTGACTCCCACTGCTCAGCACCTGTTGTGCATTGGTCAGTGGGGAGGTGAGGAATTGTATCATACTGTATCATATTGTATAATGTTTTCTTTCCTATTGTTTTAATTATTTATTATTAGTAGTACTTGTATATATGAATTTAGATTTAATTAGTAAATAGTTCTTATCTCAATTTTACAAGCTTCCTTATTTCTTTTTCCTCCAATTCTTCCCCTCCACTGGAGGAGGGGAGGGGGGATTTGTGAGAGCGGCTGCGTGGTATTTTGCTAGCCGGAGTTAAACAACAACAAGAGGCAACCTAAATGCCCTTTATTTTATGCTGGCAAAGACAAGTCATAAAACCGAGGACAACTGCTTCAGTTGGACTGCGCTGCTGACAGCGCTGATCTAGGTACCGATTACTGTCACTCACCTGTTGATGTCGAGGGTTGCGCTCCATCATCACTACCATTGGTAATGTTCTTGGATGTCTGTTCTGATGGTTTAGGGCCAACTTTTTCAGGGGTATCACCAACAACTTCGAATTCTACATCTTTTTCTAGGTCTTCACTGCAGAAAAATACATACTGCTTTTAAGCAACCAGGTGACAATAAAACCTGGCCTTTTGCACAAAGAAAGCCTGTCACTCAAGTATTAGAGCACCCTGCAGCTATGACAAAATGAGAAAAACATTAAAATAGAGGATAATCTGTTCAGTCCTCCTTTATAGTTTATGCTTTGTCTGTTCATAAACACTGTTCCACCCAGTGCCATGACTTAAAATGCTTAGGAGTGAGAAAAATCATTACGGAGCTTGTCTTTTCTCCTCAATGTCACATTCCTTGTCTCAGTGGAAGTGCCCTGAGTCACCTTACTGTACACAACGCGCGATTACTTACCCGGGGTTAGATACCCGCCCCACTTACTTCAACGTGACCCCTGTTTGCACTGCTGTGTCTGAACACGGGCAGGCAGAGCATCTACTACCCCAGCAGGCTGGGGTTTTTTGCCTTTTAAATTTTGTTTTGTTTTTCAAATGGCAGTTTCTTGCTTGCTGGCTGCCCCAAAAGTAAATTTGGTTTTGCAATGTATTTTTATGTTGTGTAAAGACGAATTATTCAAATAAACTTTTCCCAATTATTGTTGTTCAAAAAAAAACAACCCAAAACACCACCCCACACAACAGAAACCAAAACAAACCACCTGTAAACACTATAAATTCATTAAAAAACACCCAATTCCTCTCTTACCTCTGTATTTTCTTCCTACAACTTAACCTTTGAGCTTTATTCATTTATTTAAAATTATGATTTGGAGGTTCTCTGTGGAACTGTTCTACATCTGTACACAAAAATAACTGCTGCAGAGTCCTTACCTGTGAAGCACATTGATTAACAGTGTGTAGTCCTGGAGGAAATCATCTGCTTGTAATCGAGTGCCGTTTCGAATTCCAAAGTCTGATAATTTCCTGTGGTTATTTGCTACGAAAAATAGTGAAAAAGTGCAGTGTAGACAGCTATTCATATAAAGATCCTTTACACTTGAGTGAGTATGATGGAGTAAGTACTCCAGAAGTTTTCCATAGAAACACAAGATTAACATTTATTACCTATATTTAAAGCAAAAGCTTTCATTTACGCCTATCAGGAGTTAATCCTACTTCTTTACCCCTTGTGCATCATGTTCAAGCACTACCAGATTTAGGAACGTTTTGGAGGTGGTATTTGGATTACAATAATGCCTACAAGCATCACAAAAGACCACAAGCTAAGAACAAGAAAATGAACGTGACTTGCAAACAAGCCGGTGCACTTTCACAGCTGAATACCTATTCCTGAAAGGAATCCTGACGCTCCAGCTGAAAAGTACTTTATATAGGAAAGCTGAACTGGACATGCAGGCTTGCAGATAATACCACTAGCTATTCCTGAGCTAGTTAAATACTTGCAAATCCAGTTCTCTTCAAATACTAGTCTACAGGATGACCACTGGCATGTCTGCTATACTTCCATTCTGTGTATCTTGGTTTCATCCTAGTTTTTATCTACGCTTACCCAAAAGCTTCAGTATGCATACCTTCTGTCTCTCCTTCTTCTGAAGAGATAAGAATAGTTCCTTTTCCATCATCTATTTGTACATCTGGTGCTACCATAGCAAATTTTTCTTTCACTATCTGAAAAGATGCATATGATTATTTAATCAATATCTGACTTAAAAACACTTCTAAAAGAAAGAACCTGGAATTGTGTGGATTTTCTTATCCTGGCTTTTTTCCAGGCATCTGCTGAAAATCTGTACTTTTTTTTTTTACTTCCATCAACAACATAATTGTATTTTTGCTGTCTCAAACTTACAGATTCAAATACGCTGACATTTTTTTTAGAACGCGTCATGAAATGACAGAATTACAAATCAGTGTGACCATGCAACTGTAACGTGGCTACTGAACTATTCAGCTGAAATACAAATCTACTTTTTTGCCCTCAGATATGAAAAGGCTTTAAAACCAGCAAACAGTTAAAATACAGACATTCTTTTGCAAGATACAGAAGGCCACACGAGCAAGAGGCTTACTGGCCAATCTAGCTCTTCTTGTAGCTGAGAGAAATGCAAAATGTAAAGCAAACAAACAGCTGATGTTCACTCAAAAATATATTGAACAAAAACTTAGCTTTCATAATTTACAGTATTAGAATCCAAATGAAAGCTGTAGCTGATATTCAAGATTTACCTTATCCTGCAGGGTCAACACGGTAACTTTGTGTACATTAAGTTTCACAGTCACTTCTGGCTTACTTGCACACACGTAACAGTTAGGATTTGGTGGATCCAAAGCACAAGGAACCAATAGCTTCTTTCTGGGATTTGGCTGCTTGTTCAGAAAAATCTTAAGAACAGACAAGAGTAAAACCAGTTATTCTCTAGGTAACAGCACTCACAAACCCAGTTTTCCTACAGATTTGTTCTCTTAGTCTCACAGGTTGTCCTGTTCCCTAATCCTCCCTGACACGCTTGCTGAAGAGGAGAAAGTGCGTATCACGGCCAGCTCACGCCGACACCTGTGCTGACTGAGCAGCTATTGCCAAGAGATCTGTAACATGAAACAACCACGTTTCAAGCGATGTCAGTCTGGTTCTCTCTCCTGCCCAGCAGCCAATGTTCATTAAATCAGAGGAATTTAACCTTGAGACTTCCACTTCTCTTCACTGTGGCTGAAATTTCCCAGCACAGCCAGATTCTACTGAAGCAACAAGTGAGAGACAGTAAAACTACACAAAAGTCAAAGCAGGTTAAATGTGACTTTTAAATAAATAATGAATAAGAAGGAAGTAGAAGTATCTTATTCTCACTTACCGTTCTACATTGATCTATTTTGCCCGATAAAATCTTCAACCCCTCCAGCACTATCAGACCAGCTATTACTGCATTAGTTGTAGCTATAGCTGGGATAATATTTCCTGCCATTGCTGCAAAATAAGCAATAGTATGCACGTTTTTAACAGTAAATGAAAACGAGAAGTTTAGATTATTGTTTAAATACAACGTTATATTTTATCCTTACACTTGATATCAAATCTGCTCTTCATATTCATACTGAAGACATGCATCCTAAGGTTTGCAGCAGAAGTGACAAAATCCATTGCAGAAGGGTCATCCTGACGAGAAGTTAATACAAAAAAAAAAATTAAATACCAGATTACTCACTGGAAAGGGTTTGCAACCCGTGGTTCCGAAAACCTTAAAACCAGAACGTTTTTAAAACCCCAGTTTGTGCAATATGCCATTTCAAAGTCAATATACTTCCTCTTTCAGAAGGTTATGTTTAGACAGAGCAGGAATACTTTATGTTCAGATACTGTATGTAGATTTGCTATATTAGTATGAAAATATAAAATAGCATAGAAATATAAAATTAAAACAGATAAAATGCCTTGTATGTTGAAAATAATGTCTAAACTCTAAATCTTACAATGTTTTATGCTCAGTTTCAAAAATCGATGTTTCAGAAAGAAGTATTTTTACTATCTGTTGTAATACTGTTTCGTTATTTTGTGTCCCCCCCCCAAAATAACCCTCTCCCCCTTGGTGCTGAAAGAGAAAATTCTTTTCCTGTTTTACTTCAGCAAAACTTGTATCACACACACATCAGAGCTAATTACTATGTACAACTCGGTAGAACTCTAGCTACAAACCACAGTATAGAAGCATGTTTTAGAGAAAGCTAAAAAGGAAAAAAAAAGTTGATTAAAATATTTTTTTAAAAACAAAATATGAGAAATAATTCTGAATTAATAATTTTTAAAGTTGGTGAATTAAGTTATTTTACATCACAGTAGTTAATCCTTACACCCAGAGAGTTAAAAACCACGTGCCTGAAGTATATATTTGTTTACATATGGAAAGTGCTTGCAGTGAGGTGCCAGGAGTTTTTGTCCTAAGTAGTACTATTTTGGAATAAAACTGAATGAGTCCAATTACTAGTTGCACTCCATAGGCAGAGTATAACTGGTTCTTACGTATTTGGCAAACTAACCTTATCCCATATAAGCTCTGCTCCATCACCCTTCTCAGCCAGGTGGAGTCTCAGGGTTTCAACACTCCTTGAAAATAAGTGTGCATAGCTCTTGACATCGAGAACTTGCTGATCCTTCAAGATTGCAGAGGATTCATTTTGTTGGTCAGATATGTTTTTCTCTTTGGGAAAAGGAAAAAAACCCCAAGATCAGGAACACTTAGAAATCCCACAGAAGTTCTCTCAAAGAGCTAAGAATTTTCCAATTTCAGTACATTTAATTATTTTCTAAATTAAAGAACAACATCCTTATACTACAGTAGCCCCAACATTTTACAGCAAAACTACAGCTATTAACTCTACCTGTATCAATGGGCTAGACACGTGCAAATTACAGCAAATGTAAATTTTCAGCAAGGCTCAGCTTTCATCAGTGCTTATGGCAAGGTCCCCTAGAACAAGCTGACAAGTAATTTTGTGAAATGTCAATTTTCTACAGCCAATACTGAGTATCTAAAAGAAGGGCAAAACAGTTTTAGAAAAAAACATTTTCAACAGAGAAAAAAAGGTAACATCTTAAGGAATTGCAAAGAATTCGTATTATTGTACGAATACGTATATTCGTATTATCAGTACCCAGCTGTGACAATGAGAAAATGCCCAGTGTGCTGGTGTTGGCTGGGACACTTAATTCTCTTCACAGCAGCAGGTATGGGGCTGCTCTGGATTTGCGCTGCAGCCAGCACTGATAACCCAGGGATGTTTCCGTTGCTGCTGAGCAGCGCTTGCACACAGCCAAGGCCTTTTCTTGCCCCTCACACCCCCACCAGCGAGCGGGCTGGGGGTGCACAGGGAGCTGGGAGGGGGCAGAGCCGGGACAGCTGACCCAAGGGATGTTCCATACCGAATGGCATCACGCTCAGCAGATACAGCTGGGAGGGAGAAGGAAGTTCAGAGTGACGGCGTTCGTCTTCCCAAGTGTCTGTTACGTGTGATGGAGCCTGGCTTTCCTGGGGATGGCTGAACCCCTGCTGCCCATGGGAGGGGGTGAATGAATTCCCTGGTTTGCTTTGCTTGGGTGCCTGGCTTTTGCTTTCCCTATTAAACTGCCTTTATCTCAGCCCACGAGTTTTCTCATTTTACTCTTCCAATTCTCTTCCCCATCCACCAGTGGGGGAGGAGGGGGGGAAGAGGAGTGAATAAGCGGCTGTGTGGTGCTTAGTTGCCAGCTGGGGTTAAACCATGACACACAGACGTGCATTAACAAACAGCAGGTATGACTTACAAATATACAGTGGGAGGAGGGACAATTACCTTGATTTTGTACCTCAGCCCAGTCCAGGGGCACTGGAGGCTTTCTTTTCCTCCACAGCTTATCCATTGTCAGCAGATATCTAATATCATCTTTGAAAAGCTAGGAAACATTTAAAACAAAACAACATTAAAATGAAAGGGGGGGAAAAGACACGTTATTTTTACATCTGCTATGAAACTGAAAAATGAGCATTAGATTTATGAGGTTTTGCTTTTCTCCTTGAAAATATTTTCAACTGAATAAGTAAAAATCAAACTTTACAGGAAAAAAACCCACAGATTCTAAAAACTTCTTATTCCCCAATCTAACACTTCCTGCATAAAGCAGACACAGCTCCCATCAATTTGGCAGGGAGCAGAAATCAAGAAACAATCGCCCCAACAGTGGGTTCACGTGCCTACTGAAGCCACCACTACAGCTCTTTCTATTCTCTCCACAAGACAGTCTCACCAACATGCCAACGGCTTTCCAAAGTGAAGTTACCAGTACCTATCAACATTGTGTTCTGTACTAATTCCCTCTGTTTATTCACTTTCAGCAAGTATTTAGAAGGAAAACTCCCAAACCAGTTTATGTTTTCGTATGCCAAGTCTGATTATACACCGTAGATGATTCATAGCTTAGGTCCTCAGCTCCGTTCTGATTATGCCCCATAAAACTCCTACAGAATTCAGGTTTGCCTTTTCATATTAAAAGGAATTCAGATGAAGATTTTCCTGCACAGCATGGACAAGCTGCTGAAGCCGCCTGTGCAGACGCAGCTGGAATGCCATGTAACAAGCAAGTGCTGTGAGAGACTGACTCTACAGCAAACCTGGTAGAAGTCATAACGTAACTGCATGATTGATGCCTAGTATTGTGTCCAAACTGGGGTTTGACTTAACTTTAAAGCACCTCACACACTTCAAAGAAAGATATTTATTGCGGGTAAAGAAGATACCTTAGTAAAAAGTTTAACTGGATCGTATCCAGTTGATTTAGCCCACTCCTTAGTTGAAATACGTTTAATCTCACCATCTTCATTGGATGCTTGTGCTCTGGCTTCTGCTTCTGCTGGCTCCCCTATTAATAAAGTGTTAACCAAGTATTTTAATTAAGAAAAAAAGAGAAGAAAATCACATCAAATATTTCCTCTACAGCTAATAACCAAAATTATGCAAGGACCATAAAATGGCTTTACTGCACCCAACAAAAGCTGAATTAGACACAGCATGACTACTGTTTGCTTCTGCAACTGCAATTTACTAATTTAACTTAATGGCACCTAATTCCGTTATTGGCAGAAACAGTGAACAATTGTTTCCTATTAATTCTCTCCACATGATGTTGCAATTTCATAAATCTCTAACCATTCCCTTTTAGGAGTCTCTTTTCCTGGCTGAAAAGCCTCAGTTTGGTGAGAACTTCAACACACACACACACACACACAAGCGCCAGCTTTCTACCTTTGGTCATCCCCACACAAAAAAATTGCATGCGTACAGATGCTATTCACACTGTGGGTTTCCTTCCCAGTCATATCCCCCAATTGTGATTGTGATGCCTTATAAGCAGCATGTTGATGTTTTCATAAAACTACCTATGAACACCTTGACCGAATGAGAAAAATAAGCACAGAGACCACAACTTCCTATGTAAATCTGTGATCATCTCCCTGCTTTCACCAGTGCACCACTTGCATCAGTTCATACTGATCTGCACCCAACCTGCCCAACCTCTCCTTGCTCGGTCACTCTGTATGTGAAGCTTTCCACTACATTTTGCAGTTAGCCCTCATCTTCACGATTTGGAATGACTCTGCTCAATGACGTATGCTGAGCAGCACTGGTCCCACCCCAAACCTCAGACACTCCTCTAATCACCACTTAGCCTGATCACTGAAGTAGTTTATTCAATTGAGGATCTTCATCCTTTTTTCTCCCCACAGCAGCTTAGCTCCCTCAGGTTCCTCCCAGTAAGTTTTTGAGAGCACCCTGCAAATTCAGAACAGCGTAAAGCAGATATGCTTGTCCACAGCTTGGCCGATGCCTTCAAAGGACCTGCAGAGCAAGGCACTTCCCCTTACAACAGCTGCTCTGACTCCTCCCTGACACACCACGTGTGTCCACTGATTCCAAACAGCGTTATCACTACAGACAATTTACTCACTACAGACATGAGGTTACAGCTCACACCTTCCTATACTTGCCCTGGTACCTCTGTTTAAATAAGTGACATTGTGTCTGCTACCCTGCAAGTATTCCAAAGCCATTGTTTTAAGTGAGTTTCTATGCCACTCTTTTTAAGACTCAGCTATTTCATTCTGCAATTCCTGTAGGAACAACCCATTGGTGATCACTATCTGATGTTCAGGGAATCTGAAGAGTCAGAGGATCCTCTAAGCTCTCTCTCCCAAGTCCATTTATCTATCAACAGATCCAAAAGAAGCAACAAACAATGATGCTTATTCACCTTCACAGTAACTATGGTCGCTGTCCTTTCAGAAAAATACCGAATAGCTACAAAAGCATCACTCAAAATGGGCGTATTTCCTATGTAGATTAACATGGAGGTATTTCAGGCTAGAACAGTTCAAGCACAATCCTTGTATTTCCTTACAATCCCTCAGCTAGGGGTGGAAAATGCAGAGTAACTACAAGTATCACTCAGTTCTCAGTCCTCAGTTCAAAAGACAAGCCTCCCAGCTGCAGGGAAGGAAGTGCTCCATCAAATTTAAATATACAGGAAGGAAAATGCCACCCTGTGAAGATCAGTTATATTTAATTTTCACTTCAAGCTCACTTTTCACTTCAAGATTTTGTGCACATGGGGAAGATCATTTGCTGCTGAGGGAACAAAAGTCTCCAAACAGATACAAGCTTGTTCATCTAAATCATCCATCTTACACCTGGATGTGTTCACTGGAACTTTATGATTAGTGAGCATATCACAGAATCACAGAATGGTTTGGGTTGGAAGGGACCTTAAAGCCCAGCCAGTTCCAACCCCCCTGCCATGGGCAGGGACACCTTCCACTAGACCAGGTTGCTCCAAGCCTCATCCAGCCTGGCCTTGGACACTTCCAGGGATGGGGCATCCACAGCTTCTCTGGGCAACCTGTCCCAGTGCCTCCCCACCCTCTGCGGGAAGAACGTCTTCCTGATATCCAATCTAAGCCTCCCCACTTTCAATTTAAACCCGTTACCCCTTGTCCTGTCACTACAGGCCCTTGTAAAAAGTCCCCCCCAGCTTCCTTGTAGGTCCTCCCAGGTATTGGAAGGTGCTATAAGGTCTCCCCGGAGCCTTCTCTTCTCCAGGCTGAAGAATCCCAAGTCCCTAAGCCTCAGGAGAGGTGCTCTAGCCCTCTGATCATCTTCGTGGCCTCCTCTGGACTCACTCCAATCAGTGAATATCCTTCTTAGAATCATAGAATGGTTTGGGTTGGAAGGGACCTTAAAGATCATCCAGTTCCAACCCCCCTGCCATGGGCAGGGGCACCTTCCACTAGACCAGGTTGCTCAAAGCCACATCCAGCCTGGCCTTGAAGACATCACATCTTACGTTGTGGGGGCCCCAGAGCTGGACACAGAACTGCAGGTGGAGTTGTGTTCCTCACAGCTGTTCTACCCACACTATCTGGGAACTACCAGTGAATGCCAGTGACCCATCTTACACCGCATGAACAAGTTTTCACAACAGCTGAAGCAATCATTTTAATGTTTTAGGCTGCCCACAAGGGCCACAGTTCTGACAGGTGAAACTATGAAACTGTTGTCCTTTTCAAGAGTACCTTTCACACATTCACCATGCAAAAACCTCTGGTATGCATTACACATCAAGTTAACTAAAAACCACTGGAATTGTTTCAAATATCTGATAAGCAGCAGTATGAAGGAATTCAACTATGCACGGTGTACAGGAAGGTCTGTAAGGGAAACTACTGTTAACACACCCCAAACTCTTGCTGCCAAAGGGTACAGTAAATTGAAACCTCTTAAAGGAAAATGGAGCTGAACTCTCTAACCTTAAGAAAGGGACAGAAACAAGTCATAATCTCTGAAACAGAATATTTCAGTAACAGGGTAGTCTATCAGCTTGTACCACACTCACAGGCAGCTTCGGGATCAGCTCTGTCAGGAGAGACTTCTTGATCAGCATCTTCTTCTCCAAACAACTGGCTATATAATAATCAAGAACAACAACACAACACTAGAATTTCATCTTATCTGGTTAAAGACTGAAAAGCTTGCTAAGAGATCTATAACAGCTTTATAATTCTTGCCACCAGGAGTGCCACGTCATACACTGCTTTTGAAATTGCTGGGATTCATCACACGTGGAATTAACACCAACACCATAAACTGTCCAGTACAAAAATGGATTTATTAAAACAGTTCTGTACAACTCACAGTTCACCTAGCCTTGTGTTTATACTGCAGCACTGAATGCATTGCTTGTAACCCTCCAAGATCCCAGGAAACTTTGCATCAGCTAATACATGCATTAAACTGAAAAATGTGTGAACTTCACACAAAGATGAAGAATAAAGCAACTTCAACTTATGCTGCAGTGCCAAACAACTCTGCCAGATTTTCTGTGATAGCAGAGCATGGCCTAAGTACTACCCAACCTTCCATCTTCATACTGAGAGAAAAAAAACCAAACCACCTCAAAACCCAGATCTAAGAACTGGAGGTTTGTGCTATAGTCCACATAAATTTAAAAACCCCACCCAAAAAGCATGTGTCCACCTGATTGCTGTCTTCAGGTTTAGAAACCAGAAGAGTGAACACAGTACCTGTTTTCTTTTTTAAAACATCACTTACTTGAACAAATATTTAGCCCACACAATGCAATGGATAGGTTCTGACGGTGTATTTCGGATTGTGCAGCCTGGAAAAGTCTTCTGAGTTGGTTTAGGATGACATTCATAACATTCTGTCACTCCCTGGTGAAAAGTGAAATATTTACTTGTCACACTGTGCAGGCGACTGACAGCATACGCTATTACCAGATGAACGGTAACTGTATCTCAAAACACCCAACTCCCTGTTGTCTAAAATAGCCAATGATTTAAACTTAAAGTGACAAGAGTAATACACAACCTAACCTTTTTAATAACTGTTACTTGTCCAAGGTAGCCTGCAGTTCCACTCTCTATAAGAGGAACATCAGCAGCCAGGCACATCCTGTTCACATGGTTACGGGCAGCTGCAAATCAAGAGTTTTTAAAGAAAAATTTGAATAATTAGGAAAAAAACTTTCACTTCTCCTAATTAAAACTAATCTCCTATGCAAACATCTACCCTTAGTCTGCCTTATCGCATTACAGTACTACGCCTTTTCAACAAAGTCAATTTTCCAACAAACACAGAATATACTGACGCTATTAGATACAGCAAACTCATCTGAATGAAGTTAATGTGTACACACAGTACTCCTCAGTTCCCATAAGGCAGCAACACAGCAGTTCATAGTTACAAACACCTGTAAAAGCACTTTCAGGTTTCTAGTGAAGCACACAAGCATTAGTCAAACTACGGATGGGTTAAGAGGATACTTGTTATTTAACTGACACTGCAGAAGTACTAACAGCCGAACACACTGAAGTTCCGTTTCTATGAACAAGCAACAGTATTTTCATCTCCAATATAAAATCATAGTGAAAACTTCACCTCTGTTATCCAGAGCATTCATAACCAACGTAAACTGGCGGAAGAACTCTACGTTATAGTCAGGGCTACAGAAAAGAAAAACAATACTCAAAATGGCGTATCAACGTTGATGGTTATTATGCCACAACAGAAACTGTACACATGCAAAGGGTGGACTGATGTTCGTGTGATAGATTACACACATTATAAATTTACTGCTAGCCTTTAACTGCCCCATTTGGCTTATTATTTTAAAGCTGGATGAAAGCATGAATTTTATGCTGCTGGAAGGAAGCTATTGCAATTAGTACTAATTTGACCAATGAAACAGGCAGATAACAAAAAAGTGATTATACTGCTCTGACCTAATGAGTGAATTGGCTGAGCTGTGGTAACTGACCTTAAAACCCATCAGATGAGCCTAAAATGTGCACACTGTAATTACCACAGCTCATCAGACTGTTGATAATTCACCATATTGTGATAGCTCAATTGGTTTTGATTGTGCCTCCATACCCTTTGGAGCCAAGACATGGGCTTTTAAAAACTTGACACATTTGTGTCTTTACATTGCATTTTTCTGATTTAAAGAAGAAGGTGGCAAAGAAGAGAGAGTAAAGAGGAAACAGGATTAACGGTTTTACAGTTTCAGGAGAAGGATGCAATGAGTCAGGATTTCAGTGGCTAATGGCAACATCAGAGTTCAAATCTTAGTATTAGAGAAAATTAATTTTTAAGAAACCAGACAAATATAAACTAAACCATGGGAAACAGATCATGAAAACCTACGTAACTCATTGGTTATGGATCATAAAGACTAGATTTTAACAGTTTTGGGCGTACATAAATGATACTCAGTTACCTACACACACTCACAGACTCAACATTCACATTTATTTTAACCTAATTATTGCTCAAAACCTCAGGGCATCCTTACAGTGTAGAAACTTATATAGTAAATGTTGCTAATCAAATGAAAAATAGACACAAGCAAATGACTACAGCTTACTATCAAAGCTTAAGAAAACTCATGCAAAACCCACACCCCCACTCGGTGTGTGGTAGTCCCCATATTTACAGCTATTTCTTCTTACTGCAGTAGCTTTGTAAAATACCTTAAAGCACACCATTGTAGCATTTAAATAACACAGTACTTGCAAATCAAAACATGTAATTAGAGCTTAAAAACAAACATACTTCATGATGCTATCATGGTAAGCTATAATATTAGCTTCTGGATAAAACTGTAACACGCTTTCCTTGGCAACCTAGAAATAAAAAAAAAACAAAACAAAAACAAAAAACCACTTATTATTTTTCCTTACTTCTAAAGATAGACTCAATACCAGTTGAGTATCGAGTAAGTTGATTACCTTAAGAGATTTAAATACTTTCATAATGCAATGTTGTGGGTAGCCATCATCAACCAACCAACACTCACCTCGTCACAGTAGACACAACATCGTGACACGTTTCTAACACTGTCCCTAAAATAATGCTAAGGAAGACTTGAGCTTTGACTTTTTCCTCACCTGTGATTTTGATCTTCCAACATGTTTCTTTTGAAACAAAAACTGCCTGTTGAGATTGCTGACATCAATAGTATCCAGATCAATCTGTAAACACACACGAGAGACATCACTTTAGCAGAAATAAAAGGAACCAGATAATGAACAGAGTTTGAAGCAAATGCGACTGACGGAAACGCGTGAACCCCACAGCCCGTTTCAGACCTGCGCACAGGTGTTACACCTGTACTGCAGCAACTGTAGAGGCACCCGTGAGCACCTCCTCATCTTCAGGAATCTACCCCACTTACGTAATCCCTAACAATGGAACCATATGTCAAACGTTACGGGCCACGTGACAACAAACTTCCCGAAGAAGGAGTCCCTGCTAAAAGCACACTTGAATTGTGAGATACATATGCACAATAGTTAGTAGAAAGTCAGTAACTGGCTGTCCCATTCAGCGCAGGATAAAGACTTCAGTGAGTTCATCAGGAGCACAGTACAAACTCAGAGGAGATACTGCAGGCATCAGTCTGGATAGGCCCAGTCAGCCTCTACATGAGACTACCCACTCTCAACGCTGTACCTCCTGGCTCCATACCCTGCTTCCCCAAGGCCCAAGAAAGGCTGCTCAACAAACCAGTCAGTACTTCTACATTATAACTGAACACGGCTTTGAGCAACTGAACCAGTAAACTGAGGGCTGCCTTGTCATCCAATTAATACACTGCACAGGGCAAAAGCATTTACTGTTTGACACAGGGCTAACTGCTTGAGCACCTATTCACAAATGATGAAGTCTACTTCTAAAAAAACCCCACACAATCAAGATACTTAAAACCATGTATCACAGAACACCCGTAATGTACAACCTCAAAGGATGCCATGACTGTAATTCCCCTAAACAGCCATGTTTCTAGTTATTAACAGATGCACATGAACATCAGAAATTCAAATGTCTCCCCCCTCAAGAATTAAGAAGACTTAATTAGAACTTTGAGAAGACTTATTCCAACCCGTGTTTGTCACTGCTTTTCCTTTAATTAAAGAGTTTCTCTGATCAGCCACTCTTTTTAGAAGTCCTCTCTCCCTTCCCTAACATTTTTACCTAGCAGGGGAGGGAGGCAATCTTCCTGGGCCTCAGAGGTATTTTTCCCAGATTCCCACAGACAACGCTGACGTACTCGAGGCAGTAACGCCTTCAGCTGTATGAAGAGTACTACCAGACCGACTGCGCAGTGTAAAAGCTTAAACGTGACCTACTGAGGGTCTTCTCATACACGTTTAATTTTATTAACCAAACTTAAAAACCAAAAACGTGTGCTGCGCACTTCTCACTGAAGATCCTTTGCATGTGAGATCCAACTGCCAAGATTAAACTTCCTGATTTCCTAAGGGAATATTTTTAATTTAAGGATTGTTTTAAATAATAACTAAATAGCTTCATTTAAACACTAAATAAAAGCACCTGTGGATATAAAGCAAACAGAAAATATACAGTGTTTTCAGGAATGTACGAGAGAGAGCGAAGGCTGTTAATCTCTATTACCCCAGTAACTACCATGGTCTTGTGTCTTTTCAGGAAAATGGTATTTGCCTGAGAACACATTTCTACATCCTCTGCTTTCTCGTAAGATGTGCTCAGAAAGCTTGCTTAGTCCAAAGACAAAAAAACAGAGAACTTAACTGAAAATGGTTATGTGCATCATTTTGCTAAAGCTTCCACTGCCCAGAAAGCTTTCTGTATTTTAACTGGAGGTGATACCAGGTGACATGAGCTACAACTGAAAACAGTACTACCAAGAAGCAAAGAAGTTGTTTTGCAAAGAGAATATCTGAGACCATTAGACCTCAACATAAACTTCAATCTAGCTAAGTATGATCAGAATTTAACAGTTTCATTATTTATATAATTTTTACACTGCTCTCATTTTTGTAAATTCGAAGGAAAGGCTTCAGAACTTCCTAATAATATATATCTCCATGTTCTTAATTCAGATTTTAAGTAATCTGATTTTGTTCTTCATTCATAAGGATAATGGCACTGCCTTTCAGCAAAGTATTTGTAATAAAATCACATACCTGTGAGTTGCCTGGTACTCCAAACTACTAGCTATTTTTAGTATTAACATTTTATTTAAAAAAATATTTCCAATTTATAACAATAAAAAGATTTTCAGGTGTTCAAGTCTGTTAGTCTTTATTAACCAAGGAAACTCCTCAACAATATCACAAATGTTGACAAAGCGATTTATTCTTCTAATAGAAAATCTCACCTTTGCGTAACAATTCTCTTTTCTCTTGCCTTGTCTTTTGCCCACCCACTCTATACATTATCAAAACGTTACTGTCTTCCATAAAACACTGCCAATGATATTTTTAAAGGAACATGGCCCTGATCCAACATGTACTTAAGCTAATGGAGTCCAACCAAGTCATTCTTGAAAGACAACTCAAAAAAAAAAAAAATCAAACTATAATAAGTGAAGCAATAAGCATACCCCAATGAGATTTATGCCTAAGGACTAACTGGAAAATCAGGAGATATTAAACTCTTTTTATTATAATGGACTGCAGGAGTACACAAATGAAACAGTAAGGCAGGGGAACAAACTGCAGAAAATGCAGGCTTCCACTTTTCTGCGCACGTTTAGTTCACCGGTACAATGTTAAAATTTAATAGGCTCTCAGTGGCAGAGGGAAATCAAAGGGACAATCTGGAACTGAACTTCAGCGTATCTTACAAGTTTTTTAAAGTATTTCAGTAGAAAGACCAGACTTACGCGAGTAACAAGGCAAAACTAGTAGCTGTACTCTTCTACAATCTGATACATTTTAGGTAAAAGCTGTTTTCTAACCCGCTCTGCCCACCAAGTCGGACTGTAAAAACAAACTTCCTACAACTTGTCATACAAAACTCAGATGTGACTCCTGGCCAGGCACACAAAAGTAAAGACATATTCAACGAAACAGACCTGTGCCCCAGCTGGGTTTGTGATTCCTTAAAACCATGTACTTTCCTCATCTACAGTAAGAAATTAATAAAAGTCTGGAAACCACGTAATCAGAGTTTCCCTAGTAGTGTTTCCCTCTGTTTCCCGTTTTGTTGTCACCCTCTCAGTTCTGCCCTTCCTATACACCTTCAGAGATGAGTATCAGGAACCAAAAGTGAAAGCGGCAGCCCGCGGGAAGCTACCCTGGCCGGACCTCTAAGACTGACAGTTTTACAGCTCGGTGTCTAAAAATACAGTCTACCGCCCGCGTATGTTGGTTTTCGCTGCCACCCACCACCGGACCACGAGCCGCGGTATCAGCAAAGGCGGCGTTGGGCAGAAGGAAGACGAACGAGCAAGCGCCGGGCAGCAAACATGGCACAGCGCCGCTTCCCAGGAGGTTTCATCTACGGGCTCCCGGCGAGGCGCGGCCGCTCCCCCGCCGAGCGACGCC